ATAGTATAAGCTTACTAATATATAGTATTACTATATAGTACTATGACTATACCTGCCTATATATCGGTAATATCTATAGTATGTGATGGTGTGTGTAGTGTGTGTGTGGTGTGGTGTGTGTGTGCTGGTGTGTTGTGTGAGTAGTGTATATATATAAATAGTATCAAGTATAAGTATATATTATATATGATATGATATGATGTATCATATATATGGCTGGTATAGTATTTATATGTGTGGTGTGGTGATGTGTGGTAGGGTGTGTAGGTGTGTAGTGTGTGTGTGTGTGTGTGTGTAGTGTGTGTGTGTGCTGTGTGGTGTGGAGATGTATGATAGTAGATATATATAGTATAGTGGTATATATATAGTAGTAGTATTATGTTAGCTGGATAATTATAGGATTATATACATATAGTGGTGACACAGCTATAGTATATAGCATATTATACCAGTATATACTATATATATGTATAGTGCATATAGTAGTATCTACAACGACACGATGGACACACTCACACCACGCACCACACAGCACACACGCACACACGACACACAATATATAGTATATAAATAGTATACTGATTATAGGTATATATACTAGGTAGTATATAGTGTATAGTATATTTATATGTATATAGTATATATATATATATATATATACTATATAGTGGTATATGGTATAATGTTACTATATGTTGTATATGTATATAATGATATAATGTATATGTGTGTGTGTGTGTGTAGATATATATAAAAAACATGCCCGTGTGCTGCACATGGACAGGTTTCTCTACACCTGTTGCAACTTCCTTAAGTTGCAACGATTGTCTTCACTTAGATGACTTCCGTTGAATTTATCACCGGAGTTGTCAGTGACCTTTGTTAACCAGACTAATTATGTTTCGGCGTCGCTAAACGTGCCAGTAATTAATCAGCAATTAAATCTCTTGCTTAATTGCTGCTGCACGTTTCATACAGGTCAAGCATCCGTATCTAAGAAACACGAGTTTATCCGCCAAATAAGTTCTTCTAACCTGATTTCTTTAAAATGAGACAGCTGCTGCATCGATGCAGAGAGTGATATCACAGTCTACATCCGTACCTCCCTATCTATCTATTTATCTAGATATATAATGTGTAAGTGCGTTTGTGACCAAAGAAACAAAACGCTACCCTAATATGATTACGTTTTGTATATGTCTCTCACTCTATTCATCTATCTTTCTGTATATATGTATTATATTGTGTGTATGTGCGTGTGTGATCAAAGAAACAAAACGCTACCCTAGCGCAATTACGTATTGAACTTCGGCCTTTGTTCACAGGATGTTTAGGAAGGGCGAACATGAGGTTGGTCAAATCGGATGCCAAATCGGCCGACCCTATAACAACATTTGCGCTTGCGAATTATCCTATCAGCCTGGCGGTAAACCATCGCTCTCATGCACAAGGGCTCTTCTCTCCCCACCCCCCCCTCCTCTCCTCTCCCCTCTCTCCTCCCTCTCTCTCCTCTCTCTCTCTCTCTCTCTCTCTCTCTCTCTCTCTCTCTCTCTTCTCTCTTCTCTCTCTCGCTGACCATTCCTTGCACACAGGGGGAATTTGGAAGCAAAATAAAACAGACAGTATGTCACAACAAAGAATATATACACTGTAATGGAGTTAAACTAAATCTTTTTATTCATTTAATTTCTCTACTACCTCCATATTTTAAGGTAGTGCGATATGATTACAAGGATCCTAGGAATTATACGAATCACAGGAATCTGTAATAATAGGTCATTTTTCGGGAAGTATAGATCCATATGTAGACATTCCGCATGCAAGCGGTATATTCAGTGAGCCTTAAATATATATATATATATATATTATATATATATATATATATAATATATATATATATATACACACACACACACACACACACACACACCACACACACACACACACACACACACACACACACACACACACACACACACACACACACACACACACACACCACACACAACACACACACATATATATTATATATATATATATATATATATATATAATATATATATATATATATATATATATATATATATATATATAGCCACACGCATGCCAGCGCACACACACATACACTCATTTTCACTCTCAACAGCAGAAGAGGTAATGCCTGTAGGAATCGGGTCGGCAGTGCTGGGGGCGCTCAGAGCCGTGTCCGTCGAGCCGGTGATGCTGGTGGACGGGGCGTGCAATCAGGCGATGCTGCTCTTCATCGAGAACGTTCAGATGAACAAAATTTGCTCTGTCAGCCTTGGATTTCCTGATCAAGTAAGTGTATGTACGTATATGCGATAAAAAGGAGGTGGTTGAAAAGAAAATGCATATATGAAAGCGGAAATAAATTTTAGGGGCCGAAGGCATATTTAGTTAGCTGTTTTTAAAAAAGAAATTGCAATGCATTTTATAGCCCATATGAAAATAGATTATGAGTCAATTATAGGATTTTTAACGGGCTCACAATTATGTCAGTAAGGCAGAACACAAAGATCAAGATCACAGCAATAATCAGTATGTACAATGTTTTGCATATTCGTATAGCACATGGATAAATATCAAATACAACAACTTATCTATGAGAGCATTGTTAGCATTGCACTAAGAATAAGATCATAAAATGTATTTCTTTATAATAATTTGAAATGTTACAGGAATGACAATATTCTGTTTGCAAGTAAAGCAGCTTATAAAACGTTTTACTCAGTTCGAACTCCAATCTGGGAGGTCTCAAACAAGCACGATTTCACTTGATAACTGAATGCATACTTATTTCAGTGATTGTAAACGGACATCGGGCACTTTTATTGTGGACAGAGCTTTGTGCAGTGGCCCAAAGTGGCCGTTGGAGTATCTGGTAGCACAAGTAGAAACCAAGTTAGCATTGCAGTACTGTAGCTATGGGTAAACTAGGCTGTAGTAACATCAGTTTGCTCTTTTGTTAGATTCTTACAAATATGCTGATCATGAATTTTCTCCAAGGAAGGTTATATAGCGAAATCGTAGTATTAGCGGAGACAATTTTACGGTCAAACATTATGTTACGTGTTTTAGTGAGATTTAATGTTTATTGCAGTGTAGCCAATTCTTTATTTACAGAGACAGATTTTACATTTCTGTCAGCGGAAAATACTAGTATCATCAGCAAAGAGGATAAACTTTTATATTTATACAAACATACATACACACACACAACACACACACACACACACACACACACACACACATATATATATATATATATATATATATATATATATATATATATATATATATATATATGTATATGTATGTATTATATATATATATATATATATATATATATATATATATATATATATATATATATTAATATATGTATGTATGTATGCATGCATGTATGTATGTATATATATATATATATATATATATATATATATATATATATATATATATATATATATATATATATATATATATATATATATATATATATATATATATATATATATATATATATAAAGTATCCTCGGCAAAGAGAATAAACCAAAATATTGGAGATTTAGAAAAGCGTTTATATAAAGCAGAAATAAAAAAGGGCCCAGGGCGCTTATGTGGAACCCTCTGGAAGTTTTTCACTAGCGTATACTGGCGTCTGTTCACTAGATTATTAGATATGCCCTTCTTGCCCTGAGAGGTGACCTGGACAAGTTAGGCAAGGGGGGAGAGGATGCGGCGATCTGGATTCGCTTGGCAAAGAAAGGAGTGTGTTCTTTTTGTGCTTCAGTCCCATCCTCTCTAGCGTCTGCACCCCCCCCCTCTCTCTCTCTCTCTCTCTCTCTCTCTCTCATACACTGTGTAATATTTATGGGCGTGAATAACGTATCTCAAATAGCGCCTCTTGAGCTACCAAACATTAATAAATGGCTTTGGCCGCAAAATTTCGAGTGTAAGGGTTCAGGTATCGATTCCCTTATTTTCCTTTTATCTTGCTTGTCTCCTACGAACCACGACATCCAGTCGCGTTCTCGAATCGCGAAGCGCGGTTTGGTTGGAGTCAGCTTGAGTGTGATAGGCCACTTGGCTCCGCCCCTCGCAATTATATACTTATAGAAAGTATTTATATTTATTATACGTCTATAGTTTCAGATACAAGTAAAGTGCATCGTCATTCAACCTAATTTATTATATTGTATCTGAAACTTGGTGAAAATAAATGTAAAATTAAACCGTGAGGTATATAGGATGTTGATCCCGAGAAACGTTTACTGTTAACATATTACTTAGTGTCAAATTATTGGGGGACAGTCTTTTGCTCTGGGCAGATTGAGCGAACTGCCTTCCTGGCTCACGCTTGCTCACTTGCTCCGAAGGGCCGAGTCTAGATGCACTCTACCTAAGACTAAGGGAATATTCTCTTTACATATTCTTACGCTTATATTCGTCGTTTCAGCGGATAGTGTCCAAAACCTTTTCGGTGTTCCCCCTCTAAACTATTCAAGCAACCCATTACTTTCGATATCTCCTGCTCAATCCATTTTACAAATTCATTTCGTTATTTTTGGTAATGAAATAATTGTAAACATATGGACATCATAATGAGACAGGAAATATTGTCATTAATATTCTATTTTCCAAATAACATATCAAAAGTTTACCAACGAAGGATATTTCCATCTGACGAATATTAATGTGAATATCCAGTTTTTTATATAGAAAATATAAGGAATTTAAATAAAACGATGTGATAAGATTTCATGATTGTTTCCGAAATAATATACGATAACTTATTTCCATCCATCCATCAAATTAACAACTACCTCTGTGCGAATGATACAAGCATTTAAAAGAGGGTCAACAACCTTTTTGGTAATCTGTTGGACATGGGATAGTCGGGGTCGAAGTAACGGTTATTATCTTCCCGACATAAGCTAAGTACGAATTAATGTTACTGTTTGTTGGGTTGGTTACAGTAA